TGGAAAGGGAACTGAATAAATCTGAGCAGTTCTTAGGTTTTCACCATTTCTCACACCAAGTCCACATGACTGGCTATTATCACCTCACTCATAGTATGAATAATGTTGAATAGACTGGGTATTTCCTAGTAGCATTGTATATAGTTTAGCTTATTAGTATATGTATAGCTATCATATAAGTGTATTCTGATATGAATAATAATGAATAGTAATGAATAATTCAAACCAAGTGGATAACTTATATAGGTGATTAAAGCACTACCAAGGGTACCTAAATGATAAGATCAATATTCAGGACAATAAAATGTTATTTGCATAGCTATATTATGCTATGATGATTCATCACCTACATTGACACTGCAATATCTCCACCAATCCTGCATCAAGTGAGTTGATTTTTGTACTGGTAGGTAGGTAATAACGTAGTGTTGATATGCTCTGATGTGATCATGCTTATATATGTTGAGACTATGACATTATACCACTCTTTGGTAGTTGTTATATTTCAAATTTGATTAAACTCAATGATCACTTGATATCTTACTGGGAACTTCATGGATAAGCATAATCTAAGTTGCAATCTGGTCTAATAGATGTATATCATAGATATGGGAGCCCCCATAATTTTAGGTATCGTGTCTACCTGTATATATAATATATATCCTATCACACTGATCTCCCAATAACTTACTCAGAAGTGCGGGATCCCCAACACAATAAGAGTAGGAAGCATACGGAGGGGTCCCCCTATGAGATTAAATTTCCCACACCACATTATATACATATGAAATCTTGTTATTCCCTATTATAATGATGAATAGTACTGCATATCATATTGGCAATACAGCTATGATCTGCCAGTTGATTATAGATCAAATATGTGAAACTTGGCAAATGAGGTGTATACATCTACCTACATACTCTGATTGATCTCTATATATTCTTGGAGGATGAATTGGGGTGAATATTCCAAGATGAGTTGAGTACAGAACTGGTTTACATGAATGGTAGGGTCTATAGACTGAGTACTGGACATTGAGATGCATGTATGAGGATATTTGGATGTCTAGTAGGACCCCATACTATAATCCATCATGGTTCTGGCATGTATTACAGAAGGTAGCTGAAGAGAGGGTAGGTACCCATAGAGCAAAAGAGAGTGTCTTCGCTATTACAACTGGTCAGAAATTAATTTCAAGTATGATGCAAGACTTGGATATAAGATGGTATAGACCTTCAAATGAACCTGTCCAGCACTTGAATCAGCCTCATAGCTATTCTGGATCTCTCACAGTACCATTATCAGTGTTATCTATCCCAATAATGATGAGTTCATCATAGCATGACCTTTGCAAGTCTGGGAAATCTGAGTCTATTCACTAGTAGGAGTATGGTCCACCCTCTAGAAACTGGTGCCTGTACCCCTCTAGCATATCTCTATCCTGGGTTATATAGCATCTAAGGTCTCTATTAATTGACTGGCCCCAGCATTTGTCCCATGGTGGAAAATGAGTAAGGGTGTGCTAGGCTATCCTATGATATCATATCAACTTAGATCATGAGATTCCATGCATGTAGTCTTAGGATATCACCAAAATACTGCTCAATTTAGTATTCAGGCATGCTTGGCAGTAAATAGATCAGGGCAATGGTGACAAAAAATATAACTGATGTGGCTCAAGGATAGTAGGATAGTATACCTTTCAAATGAACTCTATTTCAACTGTATCTACCAAGGCTAGCTGGAAATCTGTGCCCATCTTTCAGAGGTGATGGAGATCAAATTCTACTGATGAGTGAATGTATTGTATTATCACTGCCATAGTCACTGGGAGTGATGAGGGTATACATCAGGGGTTTTTGTTAGAGTAGCTAAACTTACAAGTCTGTCACCTTACATTGTTAAAGTACTAGATATTCTCTTTTTTATTACTGAATGATCAATATAGTAATCATATCATATGATGATGATCAAAATACTTCATAATCAATACTTGCCTTTGATACCCTTCCTGCTAGCACTTGATTCATGTATTTAGGTCGAGCAACTATTGAGATAGGAGCCCATCAGTTAAATACGAGCTTGTGATGGGTCAGTGCTAACACATTTATTGAGCCACCACTATAGGTTACTTAATGAAAGGTGTTTATATAGTTACAATACACAACTTTGATTTTGTGACCAAGTGTGACACTCTCTTATGATTCCACTGTTAGACTGTGAAAATTTCCTGTTTGGGAACTGTGTCATCCTTGTAACCTAACAGTATATATGGAGCTGATCTGGGCTGTACAGGTGTCTGAATTTCACTTACTATTAGGACCTGGTATACAATTTCCTTTTTGAGTAGTCCATGATTACACAGAACTGACTCCTATACTTGGATATATAATCACTATTGAACATTATTCATACTATGAGTGAGGTGATAATAGCCAGTCATGTGGACTTGGTGTGAGAAATGGTGAAAACCTAAGAACTGCTCAGATTTATTCAGTTCCCTTTCCAAGGTTTATTCAGTTCTATGGCAATGCTGAGAGCAGCATGGCTTATCTGCGACACCCCGCTGGGGTGGACTAGATAGTACACAGTGGGTATTGGGCTACACAGGTGCAAACAGAGCGTGCGAATATGGAGGTCGAGCAATACCTTCGAACATTCTGCAACTTCCAGCAGAGCGACTGGTCCGACTGGCTTTCCCTAGCAGAATTCGCGTTTAATGACAAGGTTAACTCTTCAACGGGATTCTCGCCCTTCTTCCTCACGCTGGGATTCCACCCGAGAAAGGGGTCCGAGGCCCCGCAAGAGGTCCCGACCCAGTACATATAGCTGCATCTATGCAAAAGATGTGGGTACCATCCCAAGGGGGTAATGCAAAAGATGTTGTGACAGATGTATTTCATGAATTTCTCACTGGAATCAAGAGATATGACTAATATAAAAATGCATATAGGAAGATAAATCACCTTTTCTTTGGGCCGAATATTCGTAATATTATATTTGGGACTTATAAGCCCAGGGACCAAAAAATTAATAATCGATTAAGTAAGGTTGATGTAGCAAGATGCAGTCATCAAAAGCTCTGATGGCAATCAAAAATCGTTCCACATTGATCAACATACCTATATGTCATTGATCCCATCACTGATACCTTGATATAGCAGCCACAAACAAGAAAACAGTGTTATTTAATTTAATTTTCAAGTAGTTGCCCTCATCTTTTGCATTACCCCCCTAGGATGCCACCCACATCTTTTGCATAGATGCAGCCATATGAGCTGCCCGACCGAGGCCGCTACGGTGTTTGCCGAACGAATGAAGGAAGCCCGGGCCGATGCGGCCGGAAGCTATGAAAGAAGCCCAGGAAACGATGAAGAAATACTACGACCGAAAGCACTCTCCGGACCCGAATTACGCCGAAGGGGACAAAGTTTACCTCCAGGGGACGAATTTGACCAGCGATCGACCCTCAAAAAAACTAGACGACAAGAGGTTCGGGCCGTTCGAAGTTAAGCGCAAAGTGGGTAAAACATCCTATGAACTGGTGCTACCCCCAACTTGGCGCGTAAGCCCCGTATTCCACACGGCGCTATTACGACCCTGGAACCCCCCCGTAGCGGATCATCAACGGGCCGCCCCACCACCCCCGGCAGAAATGCGGGACGGCGAGCCTCACTACGAAGTCGAGGCCATTTCGCTCGTACGCAAGCAAGGACGACACCGCCTAAGGTACCTAATTCAATGGAAAGGCTACCCTCGGGAAGAGTGGACGTGGGAATTGCGGGACAAACTGGAAGGCGCAGAAGAGGCACTCGAGGACTTCTATACTCTCAACCCGTTCGCGCCCCGCGAAGAACTCGTAAACGGCCGATGGAAAATCCGAAAGCAAGACCAGGGGACGCGGACCCATAGGGCGTCAAGACGCCGCCCACAACGGAGGGGGTGATGTCACGGTTCGGGTCGGGCCGTCCGGGCCGTAAGGCCGCACGGGCCCGTATACCGTCGTCCTCCTGGACGCCCCCTCATTCTTCCAACCCCTTCCGTTCACCCCTACAACCCTACGCAGCGCCCATCCGATCCGCCCTGGGACCTGGCGCCCATCCGATCCATCCCTAATACCGTAGCGTATAAAAGTCGTACTTACAAGATGTAGTCGCTAGGCTAATATCGTCTATTCTCCGGGCGAATACCCATCTCTCGTGCTCCTCAGACCCTTTCGACGTCGGACCCCCCGACGCCCCGATACGGCCCGAGCCCGACGCTGACATAATAGATAATATGTGACATTTATCAGAAGTAGGGCTAACTCAGACTAAGATTAGTACTATGACTGAGTACGTAGACTGAGAAAATAGCTGTAATCATCTACCTTACTATAGTTGAATATTCTGCGACTATAATATAGTATAGTCATAATATAATATAATATAATATATTCAAACATAATCATATTCAAGTGATCCACAAAGTGCATAATATATTCATAATATTCTGAATATATTCTTTAATCAAGCATAATATAATTCTGGCCAGCACTACTCAATTTGACAATAGTGGTGCGAAATCTTGTTTTTTACAAGAAGTTAAAATGGGGGCACACTGGTGCGAGTCACTTCGTGTATATGTACATTTCCCGGGTAGGCTGATGTGATTCTCCCTCCCATGGGCCCTTGTGGCCCTAGATAACCAAAGTTCTCTGTACCTGTCTCTGACTGTACTGCCATAAAGGAAAAAAAAATGTGATCATAGTTTCAGATACTTATCTATGAATATATATCATGCTGTTCAGGTCCCAGGAGATATTGAGTATGCTTTCTGTGGGTTTTAATTTACTTGACTCCCATGCATAGGTTAGGTTTGGAGTGAACATGAGCTTTTTTTCGAGGAAGTCGGGCTTGGCCGCTTGGGTAAGTAAAAGGTGCTGAAATTGGATATTGTGCAATGTCGTCCTGCTGAGGAAATCGTCTATGCAATCCTTCATTTCATAAAGAGAACAATATCACACTCCGTCCACAGCGTTCGCCCCGCGCGCTTGCGCCGTCATTTCAGTATCGCGATCACGCACGTCCCACCCGAGGAGCTCGACATCCGCTGTGCCGAGTTCCACGAGCGGCATCGGACGTTCCTCGTCGTCGTCGTCATCCTCCTGCTCATTATCCACACTCCGGTTTTCGGGCGGCACGGGCATCGCGATGACGCAGGCGACCCGGGCGAGGGCTGGCGAGGCGGGCGGCGGCGGCTCGCCGGCCGGGGTGCTCTTGCTCGTGCTAGCTGTTGGAGCGGGTGGCCGTAGGCGGGCCAGGCGCTGCGCGAGAAGCGCTATGGGGAGGCTGGAGACTGCGCCGGAGTGTGCGGCAGGGGGCGTCGATGGCATTGTTGGAGGAATCGAGGCGGAGGGTGGGGAGACGAAGGTGAGCGAGAACGGCTACAGAGGCGGCGATTGTCAGCCGGGGAAATGGAAAATAAGACCACGGACGCACCGAAATGACGCCCCACACGCCCTCCACACCAGCCTTCTCCGCCAACCTCTCTCTATCCACATAAAAGTCGTACATCTCCGGCCTCGGCGCGTCGGCCGCATCCGCGCGCAGGCCGACACGGACGCCGGTGCCCCATCTGCGCGGGGGCGGGAGCAGCCCGAGCCGGCGCAGACGGCGGCGGCGCCAGAAGCCGCGCGCGATGCAGCCGCATGCGAGCGCCACCAGCGCGAACAGCACGCTGATGAACACCAGCACTGTCGCCGTCAGCTCACCACGCAAGAGGGCGGGGAGGGGACACACAATACAACGAGCCAGGCGTGGGGATGCGGCATCCGGGCCCGCCGCGCGTCGTGCACCCGCTGGACGGCGCGCTGGACGTCGCGCTCGAGCTCGTCGTGTCGGTCGTCGTCGTCGTGCCCGTCGGCGTTGGTGTCGGCGTCGTGCTCGACATGGGGGTGGGAGGAAGGAAGGACCCTGCGCGTAGCCCCACCCCGTGAAATGCCAATGCCGCTGGCCTGGGCACGGGGCCACGCCCAGCAATTGCTGGTCGCCTGCTGGGACCACCCCGGGCGGCCACGCAGCGACCGCGTGCCGTGGAGCCTCACGGGCCAGCTTACACGCGGGTGCCGCTCGTCTGCAGGACACCGCGCGCCGCAGCCCATGGGATAGACGCCTGCTGTTGAAGAGGACGGCTTGGTCGTTGGTTGGTCGGTGTCAAAGAAGATGACGTGGCCGGCTCCCGTTCCGCCCACGGAATGATCCGTGATTTAAAGATCTCGTCACTCACTTGAGGCATACAGGATTTCCCGGTGTTCTACCCCGCTCACAGTCCCATAGACTACTTCACATACAATGGCACATAAGGAGTATCTGCACCTCCTTCCAACTCTAATCATCCCGGTGATTGACACAGGGTTGGATTATCATGATGCTAGGAAATAGTCTGTTTTTCAAATATGTTTTACTTCATACATACATTTGGAAATGTCACATTAATCCTGTAGAGAGTTTCCTCTGGCAGCAAAGGCAAACCTGGAGGCCGGATGTGGAAGTACTGGCTGGTGCATTGTTTGCCAGAAGAACAGTCAATGTGTCCAGGATGTCAGGGAAAATATCCCGCCCTAACATTCCTTTAAATCAGATAAATATCCAAAAGTTTCACAAAAATTATGCCATTTTCTCAAAATTTCACAAAATTTCACAAAATAACCCTCTACAAATGTAGGCTATGCAAAATTTTGAGAAACTTTTCCTAAGCCTTGTTTTCTTAATTCCAAACCACACTGAAAGAAGCAAAACAAGTTACTATTCAAGTTACAAACAATAATAGACTGCGAGCCCACACCATTGAGCTCCCCCCAACTGGCCCTGTTGTCGACACCCCCAGCCATGGTCTCTGCTGCTGCTAATCTCAACCATAGCGAACTGTGTGCCGACAACACCAATGTGGTGGAGGTCGAGCACTGAGTGCGGGTGGGAATGTGGATACAAATAGGTGCAGATATAGAGGGTGGGAGATCTATCGAGTACAGGAAGGGGCAGGTGGCTGTCGCTCGCGGCGGGGCATGACACTTCTCCATCCCGGGGGCCGCCGCTCACCTTGCCCTTGGCCATACCCATGTCTAGCCTTTCCTGCCGGACTGCCCTATAGGCAGATGCGCCGCCAGAATCTGGTGGTCAGGGGTCCAATGTTCACTAGCAACTCACACTCAGCAAAGCAATCTCAACACTGGTTGTGAACTTGGTGGCGGTTGGGTGGGAGAAGTTCTCTTAAACAATGATGCAGACTCCAAACAAATAGTCATATCAAATATTGATACTGTCATCCTAAAGTAGAAACTGGCTCATCTGAAAAAGCTACATAAGGGTCAGTTCACACTGAGATCAAGGTCCTAGCAGAGAAGATCCAAGGAGAAGAAACCCTGGGGGTCTGCCTGCAAGGTAGCAAACTATATACCGTGCTATTGATATGCCAAGAATAATCCCAAGTGCAAGCCCAGAGCCTGGCCCAGCCCTACCAAGCCCTAAGCTCAGACTTTACCCCTATCTGAGAGCAAGGCAAGTTTTCTGAGTCAATACAACTACTGTAGTATTTTACTCAGTTCGCATGTCACGCGTCACACTTACCATAAAATCCGAATTTTTTTCACATGTCACACCATTTTGCTCAAATTTGTGTCCCAAAAAGGCAATTCCTGACATTTCCGGGCGCCTCCGGCGCCAAGAACTTCCTAATTAGGCAATAATTCGAATTCAAATTTTTGTATCAAATGTCACGCCATTTTTGGCATTCGAATTGAGTAAAATACTACAGTATTCAATGCTTGTATAACTATAGAATATAAATAAGTCTAGCAGGTTGTGGGAGCCATTCAATTGTCAGGCTTTGGGTCAGGCTGTGCAAGACTCCTCCTGAGAAATGTGTGCCTGGAACAGAACAGGGGCTCGCAAGCAGAGCTAGTGGGGTAGAATCAAACCAAAAGGGCCTGTTTAAGCAGTCCCTTGTCAAAGTCAGTATTGGGGTTGAATCAGGTCGTTCGGTTGTTTTGGGCCCACTGAGTTGGTGATGCCTCCTTGCATGGAGAGAAGCAGTACAATCCCTGACCTCTCCTGCTCTTCCTCATCTCTATTCCTGGCCGCAGAGGGGATGATTGTATATCCCTTACTAGCCAGACACTACTCCTAGCCTCCTAGCACTCCCCAGTTCCCCTGTGTTGTGACTTGGCTAGGCAATAGCTCGACACATTGTTCTTGGTCATGTGCTTCCCATGTGTGCATTCCTCCTATGAGGTGCCTGTTTTCAAATCCTCATGTACAGATGTGATCAACAAGATAGATGTGACCCAAACATTGGGCTTGTCAAGGCATCAGGCCTGATAGGGCCAAAGCCACAGGCTTAGGCCTTAACTAAGCCCAGCCCAGCCCTGCAGAATGCCAGCACTAGCCCAGGGCCCCAGGGGATTGCCCAGAAGACTATTAAGTAACAGGTAGGGATAGAGTATTGTTCTCATAAAAAGCTTAATAAAGAAAATGTCACGGTTCGGGTCGGGCCGTCCGGGCCATAAGGCCGCATGGGCCCGAACGGGCCTGCATGGGCCCGCATACGGCCGTCCTCCTCGACGTTCCCCCATTCTTCCAACCCCTTCCCTTCACCCCTGCGGCCCTACGCAGCGCCCATCCGATCCGCCCTGGGACCTGGCGCCCATCCGATCCATCCCTAATATCGTAGCGTATAAAAACCGTACTTACAAGATGTAGTCGCTAGGCTAATATCGTCTATTCTCCGGGTGAATACCCATCCCTCGTGCTCCTCAGACCCCTTCGAAGTCGGACCCCCCGACGCCCCGATACGGCCCAAGCCTGACGTTGACAGAATATTAGAAGCCAGAGAGGACTTGGCTCATCGGCCCCACGGGGGAAATACACGAGTAACCGTCTCTCTCCCTAAGGAGTTGACGGGCGACGCCAGCGAAGTAGATGCCTTCCTGGCCGATTGTTGGTTGGCCTTCGAAGCCAACCCGAATGTTTACAACGACGAGGTGCGAAAGATTTCGTACGCACTCTCCTATATCAAAGGCGGGAACGCGGTCACCTGGAAAGAAAATGTCTCCCAAGCCATGAAGCTCCGTACCGCCGCAGCCTATACTACGTACGAAGGCTTCGAGAAAGCCTTCATCGCGGCCTTCCGCGGAGAAGCTCACGCCGAAATCGCGCAGCAGAAGATGGAAACCTTCGTCCAGACCAAAGACATGGACGCGACTAGCTATTTCACGGTCCTCGACTCTCTCAACAAAGTCGCGCACTACGACGACGTTAACCTTATTCGCGTCGCCAAGAACTGTATGCTCCGGGGCGTTACGAACGGTCTACCGAAAGGACACGCTCCCCGATACCTACGAGGCCTGGAAGGCAGAGGCCATCAAACAAGACGGCGCACTCCGCCGCTACCGCATTTTCGACGAAAGCCACAAGGTTAACCACCCTCGGGCCAAAACGCCCCCGATGGCGCCCGCCCCCGCCAAGAGCGGGCTCAGCAACCGCAACCCGTTCAACGGTTGGGCCCGAAACGCAGCGATCAGCGCCACTGGACCGACCGTGGCCGCACCCCGAGGAAACGGGGCAACCACGGTCGCCGGACCCTCGACAGGACCCGCACCTATGGAGATCGACCGGGCCCAGGCCCCCGCTACGGCCCGCAGCACTTGCTGCTACAACTGCGGCCAAGAAGGACACATCAGTCGGATGTGCCCGAACCGGGCCGCATCGGCAAACCAGATCCGGGCTATCTTCTCTGAGTTTGTCAAAGATAACGCAGATAAAGCGGATTTTGGCGATCGTCGCGAGTGAAGCCTACGCCCTCGCCGACGTATACCACAAGTGTCTCTAGTTACAACCCGCATAATCGATATTCCGTGTTGCCAATCCAGAGATATGTGGGACCAGACGTAGAAACCAACCCCGCAACCCACCGTTTCCACCCGCAGAAAAAACCCGCATAAAACCATACGAGACACCCCGAGGCCCGCTTGGAAGAGTTGGCCCGCAGCCAGCGCCGAGAGGCTTGTCGCGCAAATTCGAGATCAGCCCGAGAAGGCTCGTTCGAAACTACAACAGTGGATACACCCGGCCCGACGAGCCGAGAACGGGCCCGAACTGGAAGAGTTCATACGAACGGGGTACGCCCCCGACGTAGCCGAAGCTTTGCGACAACTACAAGATGCTCCCCCCTTTCGGAAAAGTGAAGGCACCACGGCTACGCGGGTAGCCGTCACCCTTCAAGGGGTCAACGACCTCCGCAGGTACTCGGTTGACGCCCTCCTCGATAGTGGAGCCACCTCCGAGTTCATGCACAAGCGGTTCGTGGAGGACTCGCATTGTCTCGCAACTGGAACTCGAAGCCCTACCGCACCCAGTCCCAGTGTACAACGCCGACGGGGCAATCACCCACGTTACCCGCTTACGGGTCACCATTCAGGATCACTCCGAACTTCTGACGTTTGCCATCACGGACACCGGGAACAGTGACGTGATCATCGGGCATCACTGGCTCAAGAAGCACAATCCCGTGATCGACTGGCGTGAAGGGGCGATCGCCTTCACCCGATGCCCGCCCGAGTGCAAGCGGGCCCGATTGCTGGAACAATGGGACGAAGAGGACAATGAACCCCTGGGCAAAGGGGATCGCCTCTTCGTCACGCGGATATACGACGAAGGATCGAACACGCCCGCCCACATCCGGGCCATGCAGAGCGTGGCCACCAAACTGGCCGCCGCCGCCTACGCTGCCGAGAAGCCCCGAACCACCGAGGAGAGCGTACCCGCGCACTATCTCGAGGAATTCAAGGAGGTCTTCGAAAAACAAGACTTCGACAAACTCCCGGAACGGAGGAAATGGGACCATGCCATTGAACTACACCCAGACGCCGAACCCGTCAAAGGACGCTGCATTCC